CACTTTATTCCCTTCACTTTTTATTTCTTCTCTTAAATGCATGTCTGATGACTATCATTCTTTATTTCCTCTGTTCTCCTATTAGTATCCTAAAGACATTCCCTGGGCATGTAGTCTGACCTTGTTTCAGATTACATGCAATGAAGAACTGGATATTTTTGATTCTAGATGAGTTTTTAAACCTTAATCCAATGAGGACCAACTAAATCTAGAAGCAGTCTCCTCTAAACCTGAGAAAATAGAGCCCCTCAAAGCTTTATTATATTATATTAATCAGACATCTTCTATATGATATCTCTTCTATTATTTCCAACCAACTTTACACCATTTATTGCAATTTAGAAGTGAATTCCAAGTGGGGTCAAACACTGTTTTACAGTGTACTGCAGTGATTTTCAAGTTTTGTCAAACATTGTTCTACAGTTTTCTGATGTTGATCAGTGAGTTCCTAGTGTTTCCAAACACCTTAACACCATTTCTTGCCATTTAGAAGTGAATTCCAAGTGGTTTCAAATACTATTATATAGTGAACTGTTCTATGGCAGTGATTCCCAAGTTTTGTCAAACACTGTTCTACACTGTTTCCTGATGTTGATCAGTGATTTCCAAGCATTTTCAAACTCTTTTACACCGTTTCCTGCCATTTAGATATGACTTCCAAGTGGTTTCAAACACTGTTCCACTGTGTACTGCTCTTTAGCAATGATTCCCAAGTTTCATCAAACACTGTTCTACACTGTTTCCTGATATTGATCTGTGATTTCCAAGTGTTTTCTAACATTTTTATACACTTCCTAGTCATTTAGAAGTGAATTCTAAGTGGTTTCAAACACTGTTCTATAGTGTACTGCTCTATAGCTGTGATTTCCAAGATTTGTTTGTTTCTTGATGTTTAACAGTGATTTGCATGAATTTTAAAACACTTGTGTTCCTGCTGATAATCATATAGAGAGAAAATCATTTAGATACCAGCTTGGCTTATACTAGTGAAAAATATGAGACCTGAATCAGGAATACAAAATCAAGCTTTGAAAGAGGGTGATTTGTGATGAAGAATATTTGGTTTGATGGCTTAGAGGCATAGCTTCTACACCTAGTTCAGCTATTTGCTGTGGATTTTATAAGGGTCTTGAAGTGATATCCAACATCCCCTCATGCTCTAAAGTTCTTGAGAGCTTTGACACCTGACACATGCTAGAATCCTTTTACTCTAAGATGCTATTACTTGTAAGATGCAGTATTATTTTATATTAGACTAAAAAAACGCTGCCAATTCTACCTATAAGATAGGTTCTGGATAGTCTACATCTGTACCTGCATATTTTCTCTTTGCACTTCTTCATTCTGTTCTCTGCCCCAAAAGCCAAATATTAATGAACTGCTTCAATGGACCTCTCTTTCCCTGTGGATTTTGGTTGGGTTTGACCAAAGGAAGGTACCAGTAGGAAACTGAATGATGGGAGGATAGTGAGATTGATAGAGTTATTCCATTGTCTCTTTACTGCTGGGTCACAAAATGACTCTTCTTATGGCTGGCTACAGATCCAGTCAGGTGGCCTTCTCCTGCAGATATAGCTTCAGTAATCACTCCCTCCCTTTCCCCCTTCAGACCTATCAGTATAAAATCTCCCAGCTGTTGTGAGCTTCATTATTCCTTGTTAGTTTCCCTTAATCCTGACCACACCTTTATAAATGTGTAGTCCTTTTATTAATCTTTCCTCAATGCCACAGTCACAGTTTCAGTGTTCAGTTTGTTTCCTACTGAGACCTTAATTGATATAGTAATTTGGAATCAGGAGTTTTCTGAGGAAGTAAGTTCTCAAAATAGAAGTTTAGGTCTGTGTTGCTCACATATTTGAGGAGAATTATCAGCACTTGACAAAGTAATAGATGCTTAGTTTGTTTGAATAAATGGACAAAAATTATCTCCCAATCTTAGTGCCTTTCCTCCCCAGAAAAGAAAAAATCATGTAGCCAGAAATCTAGAGGGATTTTCTTTGTAAGTTTCCCAGAATGTGAAAATTTTGTTATTTAAAGATATATGCTGTTACAAAAAGATTCCCTTTGCTCTCAACAGCATGCACCAGTGGTTCTCAACCTTGGCTGCACATTAGAATCATCTGGGAATCTTTTTAATATCCTGATTTCTGGGCCTCATCCTCTGGAAATTCTATTTCTTTGTTATGGGGTGGGGCCACAACATTAGTAACAAAGAAACAGAATTTCTGGAGGATGAGGCCCAGAAATCAAGATTTTAAAAAGATTCCCAGGTGATTCTAATGTGCAGCCAAGGTTGAGAACCACTGGCATACACTCTTGCTTTTGATTATCTTTGCTGACAGGAATTAAAAAGAAAGTATTTTCCTAGTTAATATCTGGGTCCCAGGTCCTAGGGACTTTATTGCATTTCTCTAGTAAAGATAGCACATCTGGAATAGCAAAATGCCATCAATATGATGAATCAACATGCTATTCCATATATAAAGACAATAAAGCTCTCCCTCTAGAGTACATTATAACAAAGAGCATGACAGATGATGATATTTCTTAGGTAAGAAAGTAAAGAAATTGTTCTCTAAAAAAATTAAACTAGACCACCAATTTACATCATACACAAAAATAAACTCAAAATGGATAAAGGATTTAAACGTAAGATGGAAAAACATAAAAATCTTAGAAGAGTCCATAGGCAGCAAAATATCAGACATATATTGTAGCAATATCTTTACTGATACAGCTCCTAGAGTAATGGAAACTAAGGAGAAAATAAACAAATGGGGCTACATCGAAATAAAAAGCTTCTGCACAGCAAAGAAACCATCAACAAAACAACAAGAAAGCCTACTGCTCTCCCCTTGGTGGCCTGATTGCCCCTAACTGCCTCTGCCTGCCTGATCACCCCTAACTGCCCTCCCCTGCCAGCCAATTTGGTTCTGATTGGTCAGTTTTTATGCCAGTCAGCATTCTGGGCCTATCAACAGGGCCTGATCAGAAAGGTGGGGGTGATCAGCAGCCCTGGTGGAGGCCTGGAGAGAAATGGAGGTTCGGCTATTGGCCAGGCGGGGAGAGAAAGGGAGGCAAGTTCTGATCAACTGCTGCCACAGAGGCTATGGACCAAACCTTGCCTCTCTCTCTGCAAGCCTCTCTCCGGGTCTGATCCGCAGCCCTCTAGGCAGTCAGTGCTGGGTCAGGGTACCCGCAGTGGCCATAGTCAGTGCTGGGTCACCAAAGCAACCCAGCACTGACTTCCAGTCTGATCAAGCCTTGGGTCCTTAGGACTCTGGCTCTTTATTATATAGATGAGAGTATTTCTTCCGGTTCCAATTTTCCAAGAAAGAGGTTCCTTCTCTCCAAGCCTTTGAGTCCATGCTTAGTCACAGAAGGGATCAGAAGTCTTCTTAGTATCCAGCCCAATAATCACATGCAATTCCACAAAAGTAAGAGATACATTGGAAGATATCATAGAAGCTGGAGGCAGCCTCCTGGAGCACCAAGAACCCTAGCCAGACCTCCAGCCCCCCAGCCCTGGGCCCCATGCTGAGCTGGTGTTCCTCCCACCCACATCCACCCAGGCACTGGGACCAGATCTCTAGCTGAGATTTTTAGCTCACCCTAGCCCACCTTCTGAAGTTCCCAAGGGTTCAGGAGGGCACCTCTGTTGGGAATGGGATTTTTCTGGGTAGTGTGGAAAGAGGTGCCCTGCACAACAGGGAAGCCCCTTGAGATGGTGGAAGGGGAGGGGTGGCACCTGTCATCGGTCAGAGGTGTGGGGTTCCCTTAGCATCTTGGGGGCTAACTCCCTCCATAACACTGAGGGTTCATTGACTTCCCCCTGTTTAAGGTTCACCAGGTCCCCAAAGGAGTGCTTCAGACTTCCATCTAGGCACGCAGGGGTAGGAGACAACCCCCTCCTATGGAGGGTACCTTTTGTAAGTCAGGAGACACCTTTCTTTGATTGGGGGCAGCAGACAGGGGACGCCCCACCTGGGTTGGTTCCCAGAATAGCCCTGGGGTTCCCTCAACACACCAAGGGGCAGAGGGGAGATGCAGAGCCATTCCATTTTGCGAGCTTGGGGGATTTGGGACAGTGGGAGTTTCTCAGAATGGCAAAAAGGGAGCAAGCATGTTTGCCAGCTGCAGAGTGGAGCATTTCCAGAGGGACGGCCGCATAAGAGCGGAGGAGTTGGGGGGAGTGTGAAGGAGCTTATGGAGAAATCTCCTAGGAAAAAGAGACACAGGCACCCTTGATCTGTCCTCTAGGTATGTGGGCTTGTGTAACTGGCAGGCGAGCGGGCGTCCAGAAGCAAAAAAAGCTTAGAACACTTGGTATTCCCAGGTGGTTACTAACCAGGCATGACCCTGCTTACCTTGGAGATCAGGCCTGGTTGATATGACCATAGACTCTGGAGGCAGCCTCCTGAAGCCCTAACAGCCTGAGATTGACCTCCAGATCTGTAAGCCCTTGGCCCCCACATAGAGCTGGTGCTTCTCCCCTCCCCTGCCCCCTCGCTGGGACCAGATTTCTAGCTGAGACCTTTAGCTACCCCTCACCCACCTTCTGAGTTTCCAAAGGGTGCAGGAGGGCACTTCCTTTGGTGGTGGGATTCCCTGGGTAGCATGGGAGAGGGGCCTTTCCCAACTGGGAGGATGGAGCACCCTAGGGATGGCGGAGGCGAGGGGCACCTGCATTTTGGTCCAGACCGGATTCTCTTCGTAGGAAAGGGGCTACCTCCCTCTGCAGCACCTGGGCTTAATTCAGTTCCCCTTACTTTGGGGTGCCGGGTCTCCAGAGGAGCTCTAGGGGCTTCCACCCGAGTGTGCCAGGGTAAAAGACATGCCCCGCCAACCGAGGGGTACCCTCTGTAAAGGGGGCAACACCTTTTCTGATTGGGGTGACAGTGGAGGGGTGGCTCGCTAGACCCAACTTCCAAGAGTAGCCATGGGGTTCCTTCCACACCCCAAGGGGCAGAGTGGAGATGTGGACCCATTCCTTTTTGCAGGTGGTGTGGAGTTGATGGGCTGTGGGAGTTTCTCAGAATGGCAGCATTGGAGCGGACATGGTGGCCTGCTACAGCCTGCCTCAGTTCCTGATGAACAGCTTCATGGGAGCAGGGGTCCTTGGAGAAATCCACCTGGAAAGAGACAGGCATCCTGGATCTGCACTCTAGGCATGTGGGCTTGTATTCATGTGGGCTTGTGTGCCTTTGGTGGGTGGCAGGCATCTGGTGGGCAAAAAAGCCTCCAGCACCTGATATTCCCAGGCAGTCCCCCATCCAAGTACTAACCAGGAAGGAACCTGCTTACCAGTAGCTTCAGAGATCAGAGGATACCAGGTATTTTCAGGGTGGTATGGCAGAAGACCCTGGAGGCAGTCTCCTGGAGTCCCAAGAGCCTGAGCCCTTAGCCCCCATGCTAAGACAGTACTCCCCCCACCCCCACTCTCTCACTGAACCCTTTAGCTACCCCTTGCCCAACTTCTGAGCTTCCAAAGAGTGCAGGAGGGCACCTCCTTTGGGGGTGTGGTTCCCTGGATAGTGCAAAAGGATTGCCCAAGCCATCTGGATAGGACAGAGCCCCAGAGGGATGGCAGAAGACCAGAGGCGGCACTAGCCTTCTGTCTGAGGCACTGGATTCCCTTAGCAGGCCCCTCAGCACTTGGCCTCCATGCTGAGCTCGTTCCAGCACCACTCCCTGCCCCCACTCTGGGACCAGATCTCTAGCTGAGCCCTATAGCTGCCCTCAACAACCTTCTGAGCTTCCAAAGGGTTGTGGACAAAAGGGGCTAACCTGACAAGCTCAGGGAAGGCCTGCATGGCAGTCTTGCAAACTCTGAGACCTAAAGTAACCAGAAGAGATGGTCTGAAATTAAACTTCAACTAAAAGTAGTTATGGTGGGTAGTCACCTCCTAGGCAGGTATCTTCCCTGACAAGGTCAATCTTTACCTTAACTGAGCTTATTGGTTTTTTGCATCTACTATAACATATCATTGAAATGTCTGGGTAACTTGTAACTTCCCTTTTCTCCTCCCGCCCCTCCCACCCCTCAACCTCTCAGGGCCCGACCAAATGCCCTGGGGGCCAGGACAGATACCACAAATTCCTTCATTGTTATTGTTATCAGGTTGTTGACTGTTAACTATACTGTACTCACCTAAATTAAAGAAGTATGTGTGTATCCTTTTATTTTTTATCTAATCCCAGAGGTTTCCCCACTTTGCTTTCTCCTGCCTCTCTAATGTAGCACCAGTGGATTTCATGTAACCCACCTATGCCTCCTCCTTTGATTGTAATGTATAAAAATAGGTTTTAAAAAACTGCCATTCTCAGGAGCATTATCCCAAACCATTCAGATTTTGCTTCCTGGCAATTGTCAACAGTTTGGCTCAAATAAACTCACAAAAATTATTTACAGGTTTGAATGTTTTTACATTAACAGGGTGCAGGAGAGCACTTCCTTTGTGTGTGGGGGGGGGGGGGGGGAGGGGATTCCCTGGGTATTGTGCGAAAGAAGCCTGCAGGGATGGTGGAAGATGAGGGGTGTCACTGGCTTTTGGTCCAGGGGGTTGGGTTCCCTTAGCAGGTTTGGGGCTACCTCCCTGTGCAGCATTGGGGGCTCATTCAGTTCCCCATGTTTTAGGGCACTGGATCCCCAGAGGAGTGCTGAGCACTTTCACCCAGGTGTGCCAATGTAAGACACAACCCCTCTAATCAAGGGGTGGCCTCTGTTATGCAGGTGACACATTTTTTGATTGGAGGTGGTGATCAGGAACCCATTAAGGCCTGGTTCCCAGAGTAACCCTGGGTTCACTACACAAATCCAAGGGGAGGAGGGCAGAGGCGGACCACTCATCAGGGTGGGAGTGGGGGGGGAGGGGGCAGGGGAAGTTTCACAGAATGGCAGAACAGGGGCAGGCATGGTGGCCTGCAACAGCCCATCACAGTTTCTGAGGGACAGCCCCATGGGCCAGGGGGCTGGGAGGTGTGGAAATATTCCACGGGAACAAGAGACACAGAAACCCTGGATCCTGCTGATAGCCAGAACGGTGAGCCAAGGTGTTTTTTTCCCTGGGTTGTGTCTTGCAACGCCGAAGAATGAGCTCCGAGGACCAGAAGCTTTAAGCAAAAGTGTGAAAAATGTATTACAAGCATATTTAGATTCCTCACAAGGGGAGGGGGACCCAATAGTGGGCTGCCCTTTAAAGCCTTGTAGTCCAGGGTTATATATTTGCCACAAGCCTGCTCTATGTCTGCCTGTGTCATCATCTGATTGAGTCCCTCAATTGTTTTTGCAAAGCAACGGACCTGAACTTTCCCCATTTCTATGTGTTCTTTCTCTGTCTCTATGCTGAACTTTCTCTGTTTCTATGGGTTCCTACACCTTGTGACTGCAGGCCGTCCCTTGTTTTCCCATGCCTCCTGCTTTGAGTCCAGACACATTTGATTATTTCTGCTTGGATGGTTTCTGTGATTAGGCTTGCTCAAACTGCCATGTCTGCCCCTGCTTATGTTCCACCTGCCTTTGTTTTCCACTGGACCCCTGCCGTATCTGCCTGCGTTTCAAGTTAACCCTCTCATTGCTACCAGTTGTGCTGGCTCATGTGCCTGTGGAGGGCTGAAGGGGGGCCTCTGGGGCAAAAAAACCTGCAGTGCCGGGTCATAACTCAGTGGTTGAGTGTCGACCTATGAACAAGGAGGTTAGGGTTGGATTCCAGGTTGTGGGCTGGATCCCCATTGTGGGGTGTGCAAGAGGCAACTGATCAATGATTCTCTCTCATCATTGATGATTCTACGTCTCTCTCTCCCTCTCCCTTCCTCTCTGTAATCAATAAAAATATATTTTGTTAAAAAGCCTACAGCACCTGGTATTCCTGGCAATCTTTCATTTCAAGTACTAACTGTTAGGGTCACTGAGGGAGGAAAGCACATGGCCAGAAGGGTGAGGGATTATGAATTTGTTCGGTCATCCGCACACCAGGTGGCTGAGCCCCAAATGGCTCCAGCACCCAGTGACGGGAGTCAGAAGTTTTTAAAGGACTTTTGGTGGGCTTTCTCTGGGCGGAGAATTCTCTGTGTTGGTCTGGAGGGGAGAGATAATGGTCTTAGCAAGTGGAATGTGGTCTCAGCAAGTAAAATATGGTCTCAGCAAAAGGGAATGTCCATTGTGAAATGGCCTGAAAGTCAGCTCCCAGGGGAGGTATATCAATTCAATTGTTCAATCAAACCTAACACTAACCAGGGCTGACCCTGTTTAGCTTCTCAGATCAGAGAATATCCACTTTCTGGGTGGTATGGCCAGAGACTGGAAGCAGCCTCCGGGAGTCCCAAGAGTGTGTACCTGGCCTCTAGGACCCTCAGCCCTTGGCCTCCACACTGAGTTTGGTGTTGGGCCAGAACCCTGCCCACTTCCTGGGCCCAGATTTCTAGCTGAGCCCTTTAGCTGCCCCTCACCCACTTTCTGAGCTTCCAAAGAGTGCAGAAGGGCACCTCCTTTGGGATGGAATTCCCAGGGTAGCTAGGGAGGGGGTTCACTCCCCAACTGGCAGGACAGAGCCTCCCATAGCTATGGTGAAAGGCCAGGGGCAGCAACAGCCTTTGGTAGGGAGCTTGGGATTTCCTTAGCAAGTTGGGAACTACCTTCTTCCATAGCACTGGGGTTTTTTTATGTCCCCCCTCTTTAGGGGTGCCAGGTCCTCTGAAGAATGCTGGCGGCTTGTACCTGGGAATGCAAAGGTAAGATACACCCCCTCCAATCACAGGCTGTTATCAGTAAAGAGGACAAAACATTTTCCTAATTGAGGGCAGTGGTTGGGGGGGGGGGGCGCGTGCAGCCCACCAGGCCAGCTTACCAGAGTAGCCCTCAACACCTCCAAGGGGAAGAGGGGAGAGGCTGGGCCACTCACCTGGTGTCAGGTGAGGGTAGGGAGTCAGAGGGTGTTTCACAGAATGGCAGGAAGGGGGCAGTCATGGTGGCCTGCAACAGCACAACACAGTTCCTGAGAGAGGCTCCCAAAGACCAGGGGAGTGGGAGGCATGGAATAATTCCTTGGGAATAAAAGACACAGGCACCCTGGATCCTGCTGCCAAGCCTGTGGGCTTGTGTGCCTGTGGTGGGTGGCCAGCTTTCTCTGGGGCAAAAAAAGCCTACAGCACCCTGTATTCCCAGGCTGTTTTCCATCTAAGTATTAACCAGACCTGAGCCTGATTAGCTTCCCAGATCAGAGATCTGGTGCATTCATGGTGGTATGGCCAAAGATGCTGGAGGTTGTCTCCGGGAGCCCCAAGAGCCTGCCCCTGGCCTCCAGTCCTCTCAGCCATTGGCCCCCAGGCTGAGCTTGTGCCCCTCTGACGCCTGCCCACTAGCTGAGCCCTTTAGCTGACTCTGGACCAACTTTTGAGCTTCTAAAGGGTTCAGGATGGCACCACCTTTGGAGTTGGAATTCTTTGGATAGCACGGGAGGGATTGCCATGCCCAACTGGGCAGGACAGAGCCCCCTAGTAATGGTGGAAGGCTAGGGCCAACACTGGCCTTCCATCAGAGGTGTGGTGTTCACTTAGCAGGTTGGAGAATACATTCCTCCACAGCACCTGGGATTCATTCAGTTACCACCGTTTCGAGGCACCTGGTCTGCAAAGGAGTGCTGGGACTTCCACATGGGCATGCCCGGGTAAGAGTCGACACCTTTAATTGAGTCATACCCTCAGTAAGAATGAGACACATTTTTCTGATTGGGAGCAGTGGGCAGGTGGTGGGCCACCAGGGCCTGGTTACCAGAGTAGGCCTGGGGTTCCCTCCACACCTCCAAAAGGAGGAAGTGAGAAGGCAGGGGTGGGAGGTTAGAGGGGGTTTCACAGAATGGCAAGAGGGGGGAAGGTATGGGCCTGCAACATTGCATCACAGTTCCCCAGGGATAGCCCCACAGGCCAGGGGTGTGGGAGGCATGGAAAAATACCATGGGAACAAGAGACACAGTCACCCTGGATCCAGCCACCATGCGTGTGGGCTTGCATTCCTGTGGTGCGTGGCCAGCCTTCCATGGGGCAAAAAAGCCTATAGCACCAAGTATTCCCAGGTGATCTCCCATTCAAGTATTAACCAGGCCTGTACCTGCTTAGCTTCTCAGATCAGAGGAGATCCAGTGCATTCAGAGTGGTATGGCTGAAGATACTGGAGGTGGCCTCCGGGAGCCCCAAGAGACCATGTCTGGCCTCCAGGCCCCTCAGCCCTTGGCCCCCAGCTCAGCTAGTGCTCCCTGGGTCCCTGCCCTCTCTCTGGGACCAGATCTATCACTGAGACCTTTAGCTGCACCTTGCCCACCTTCTGAGCTTCCAAAGAGTGCAGGAGGGCACCTCCTTTGGGATGGGATTCCATGGTTAGCACAGGAGGGGCACCCTAGGGATGGTGGAGGCAATGGTTGGCATAGGTGGTGGTTTGGGCGTGGGTGTGCAGGGTTTTCCTAGCAGGTTGAGGGCTACCTCCCTCCTCAGCACTCAGCATTCATTCAGTTCCCACTCTCTCCAAGCACCGGGTCCCGAGAGGCTCAGTGTGGGCTTCCACCCAGGGGTGCTGGATAAGGGACACCTCCCTCTAATCAAGGGGTGCACTCTGTAAGGTGGGTGACAGCTTTCCCTGATTGGGGGCAGGGTTTGGGGGAGGGTGGTGGCCCACCAGGTCCTAGTTCCAAGAGTAGCCCTGGGGTTCCCTCCATACCTCCAAGGGGAGGAGGGTAGTGGTGGGACCACTCCCCTGGGGGGTGTTGGGTGGGATGGGGTGGAGTGAGTGGGGAGCAGTGGGAGTTTCACAGATTGGTAGGAAGGGGGCGGGCATGATGGCTGGCCTCAGAGCACCACATTT